AGAGTTAAAAGAATCTAAATGAACATGAGGTCTCTACACTTGAAGTGGCAAAATATCAATACCAGAAGACAATGATGAGTTACATATGGTTAGTGTAATACCTAGAGTAACCACTAAGAAAATTTATACAAATTGATGTATTCAAAAACACAATAAATAAAGCAGGACAATTTTGTGTGTGTGTGTGTGTGTGTGTGTGTGTGTGTGTGTTGGAGTCTCACTCTGACACCCAGGCTGGAGTTACTTCAGCCTGGATGGCAGAGTGAGACCCCAACTCAAAAAAAGAAAAAAGTTGAAGTGGCTGTATTAATGTCAGATAAAGTAGATTCCAGAGCAAAGAACGTCAAAAAGGATCAATCCACCAGGAAGACATAACAATTCTGAATGTGTACATACCATAAAATGAAATCTCAAACTACATGAAGCAAAACTGACAGAATTGAAAGAAGAAATAGATATATGCACAATTGCAGTTGGGAAATTCATCAACCTGTCCTCAGCACTGGTAGAGACAGAAAATTAGTGAGGATATAGAGGAATTGAACTGCATAATCACCATAGTATATAATTAATGTAACAGATCATTTCACTCAACAACAGTAGACAAACATTCAAGCACCCAAGTAATATTCACCAAAGTAGACTATATCCTGTGTCATAAAACAAACTTTAACACATTTAAAATAATTGAAAACATACAGAGTATGTTCTCTGACCATAGCGGGATCAAACTAGAAATCAATAATAGAAAGACAACAGGAAATCTCCAAACACCTGGAAATTAAAAACATACTTCTAAATAAATCATGGGTCAAAAAGGAAGTCTCAAAAGAAATTTAAAAAATAGAACCAATTAAGAATGAAAATATAACATATCAAACTATATGGGATGCAACTACAGCAGTCCTGAGAGAGAAGATTTTTTTTTGGGTGGGGGGGGAAGCAGGATTTATTGAGAGGATAAAGAGGCTTGCACAGAGGGAGGGGATGCAAAGGGGTTGCCCTGGTTTTTCTTTTTCTTTTTGAGTCAGAGTTTCACTCTGTTGCTCAGGCTGGAGTGCAGTGGCATGCTCATGGCCACCATAACCTAGACCTGCTGGGCTTAGGCGATTCTTCCGCCTTAGCCTTCCAAGTAGCTGGAACTACAGGCACTGTGCCACCATGCCCAGATACATTTTTGGATTTATTGTAGAGATGAGGTCTCACCAAGTTGCCCAGGCTGGTCTTGAACCCCTGGACTCAGAAAATCCTCTCGCCTCTGCCTCCCAAAGTGCTGGGATTACAGGCTTGCGTCACTGTGCCCAGCCGAAAGAGAAGTTTATAGCACTAAATACATTGGAAGAGAGCAAAGACCTCATGAAAATCTCAGTTCCTACCTCAAGTAACTAGAAAAAGTAAAGTGAAACAAACTCAAAGTAAGCAGAGGAATAAAATTATAAAGATCAGAAATTAGTAAAATTGGAAACAGAAAAATAGAAAAAATAAATAAAACAAAAAGCACGTTATTTTTTTAAAAACAGAATAACATTGATAAACCTTAGCAAGACAAAGATAGAGGAAACAAATTCCAATATCACTATTAAAATATGATCTCACCATAGCACCTACACCCATTAAAAGGATAATAAGGGAATGCTATGAACAATTTTGGCCTAACTTTCATACCTTACACAAATTCAAAAGGGATTATAACCTTAAGTGTAAAACATAAAACTATAAAACTTTTAGAAAAAAACAAAGGAGAAAATCTTCAGGCTCTAGAACCAGGCAAAGAAGTTTTAGATCTTAGACCAAAAGCACACTTCATACAAAGTAGTATAGTATATTGGATCTTATCAAAATTAAAAACTTGCTCTGTGAATGGTTTTGTTAAGAGATATGAAAAGGTAAGCAATATTTAAAAACACAATACCAGGCCAGGTGCAGTGGCTCACACCTGTGATTCCAGCACTTGAGGGAGTGAAAGAGGAAAAATTTCTTGAGCCCAGGAGTTCAAGACAACCTTGGCAACATAGTAAGAACCCGTCTCTACAAAAAGTTAAAAGATTAGCAGTTCTTATGGCATGTGCCTGTAGTCCTTGCTACTCAGGAGGCTGAGAAGGGAGAATCATTTGAGGCCAGAAAGTCAAGGCTGCAGTGAGCTGGGATTGCATCACTGCACTCCAGCATGGACAACAGAGTGAGACCCTGTCTATAAATAAATAAATACACAATACTATTTATGTTAGCACACATGCACAAAGGAAATACTTAGGAATAAGTCTAACAACATGTGCTGGATTTGTATGAGGAGAACTACACACTCTGAGGAAAGAAATAAAATATTTAAATGAATTGAGAGATAGATATTCCACATTCATGGGTAGAAAGACTCAATATTATTATTATTTTTTTTTTTGAGTTGGAGTCTCACGCTGTCACCCAGACAGGAGTGCAGTGGCCGCTCCCAGCCACCGCAGCCTCGACCTGCTGGGCTCCGGCAGCAGCCTTCCGCCTCAGCCTTCCAAGTAGCTGGAATTATACGCATGCGCTACCACGCCCAGCTGATTTTTTGATTTATTGTAGAGATGAGGTCTCGCCTGCCCAGGCGGGTTTCGAACCCGCCGGCTCAGGCAATCCACTCACCTCAGCCTCCCAAAGGCGTGGGATTATAGGCTGAGCCACCAAGCCCGGCTAAGACTCAATATTATTAAGATATCATTTTTTCACAACTTGATCCATAGATTTAACACAATCTCAATAAAAATTTTAGCAAGTTATTATGTATTTATATATATATACATAATAGAATCAACAAACTGATTCTAAAGTTTAAATAGAAAAGCAAGATTCAGAATAGCCAACACAATACTGAGGAAGAAGAACAAAGTTGGAGAACTGGGGCTATCCTACATTAAGACTTACTATAAAACTATAGTTATCAAAAACAGTGTGGTATTGGCTAGAAAATAGGCAAATGGATCAATGAAACATAATAGAAAACACAGAAATAGAGCTACACAAATGTAGTCAACTGATCTTTAACAAAGGATCAAAGGCAATTCAATGGGAAAAGGATCGTCTTTTCAACAAATGATGCTGGAGCAATTAGAAAACCTTATTCAAAAAGTAAATCTAGACACAGATTGTACACCTTTCACAAAAATGAACAAAATGCATCCTAGACCTAAATGTATACTGCAAAACTATAACTAGAAGACAATATAGCAAAAAATTTAGGTCGCCTTGAGTTTGTTTATGAGTTTTTAGATACAAAATTAAAATCATAATCTGTGAAAGCAAAGTTGACTCGATAAGTTAGACTTTATTAAAATTAACTTCTATCACTGGAGAAAAGAGACCATATTTAGCAAATGGTGCTGGGAATACTGGCTGACCACATGCAGAAAAATGAAACAGGACCCCTACCTGTCACTGTATACAGAAAGCAACTCAAAATGGATTAAAGACTTAAATGTAAAACCTCAAACTGTAAGAATCTTAGAAGAAAATGTAGGAAACACATCGTCACATCACATCAGAGTAGGCAATGAATTATTGGCCAAGTCCCCAAAAGCGAATGCCATGAAAGTTAAGATAGACAAGTGGGACTTCATCAAACTGAAAAGCTTTTGCACTACAAAAGAAACCATCAAGAGAGTAAAGAACCAATTCACAGAATGGGAAAAAAATATTTGCAAATTATGCATCTTACAAAGGCCTCACATCCAGGATGTACAAGGAACTCAAATGAAATGAAAGAAAAAAAGCAAATAATCCCGTTAAAAAGTGCACAAAGGATATGAACAAACACTTCTCAAAAGATGACATACAGGCAGCCAACAGACAAATGAAAAAGTGCTCAGCCTCACTAATCATCAGAGAAATCTGACAACAGATACTGGCACAGGTGTGGAGAAAAGGAAACACTTGGAAACTGAGGGTCAGAGTGCAAGGTAGTTCAACCTCTATGGAAAGCAGTGTGGAGGTTCCTAAAATAACTAAAAGTTGAGCTTCCATACAATCCAGCAATCCTTCTCCTGGGAATATACCCAGAGGAACATAAATTGTTCTACAAAAAATACACCTGTACACATACATTTATCACTGCACTGTTCACAATAGCAAAAACATGAAGCCAACCCAGATGCCCAATGAAAGTGGACTGGATAAAGAAAATGTGGTACATATACACTATGGAGTAATATGCAGCCATAAAGAAGAACAAAATCGTGGACTCCACAGCAAATTGGATGGAGTTGGAGACCATCATACTAAGTGAACTATCACAGAAACAAAGAACTGAATACCGCATGTTCTCACTCATAAGTGGATCCTGAATATTAGTCACATTAGCACAAGGGTGGGATCAGCCAACATGGGACACTACTAGTAGAGGCAGGAGGGTGGGGTGCATGTGACAATACAAAGCGTACCTGGTCCACTGCCGGGGGAAGTGGGGTCAGTTAGAAGCTCAAAGTTCACCTGCATGCAGCCTACTTATGTAGTTAATCCTCACTTGTACCCCACATCTCTATAATTACAACAAAACAGAACAAAAAAACTTGTCTGTGAATGACACTGTTAAGAGAATGAAAAGACAAGCCACAGACTAGAGAAAATATTTACAAAACACACATCTGATAAAATATTTGTGTCCAAATTATACAAAAATCTCTTTAAACTTAGCAATAGGAAAACCCAATTAAAACATGGGTAAAATATTTGGACACTTCACCAAAGAAGATATAGAGATAGCAAATAAGCATATGAAAAAATATTCAACATCATATATAAAATATGTAAAATGGTACAGTCACTTGAAAGACAGTTTGGCGGCTTATTATCAAGCTCAACATATTCTTACCATACAATGTAATAATCATGCTCCTAGCACAAACCCAATTAAGTTGAAAATGTATGCCCACACCAAGTCCTGTACACAAATATTTTTACCACTCTAGTTATAATCACCCAAAACTGGAAGCAACCGAGATGTCTTTATTTTTTATTTTTTTACAGAATGACAAACGACTTTATTACATGAGCTAAGGAAGAGGATTTATTTGCCTTTCCAGGCCTTGATTTTCCTCAGATAGAACTCCAGCTCCTTGCCTTCTAGCACATAGCAAGCTGCTCGGCCACACTGGCCTGGTCTTGATGGAATGCAAGCAAGAAGTTTGCCCTGCTGGAACTGCTCCTCCAGAAGACTGCTGATTTTGGCATTCTTTTTCCTTTCATCATATTTATTCTGATTTTTGGGGGATCATTTTTTGTTTAAAATCTCTTCCTCCTCAGGAGTCAGGTTGGCACCCTTCTTGCAACCCAGGGTCAGCGCATAGCGGGAATTCATACCACTGTCAGTATGGTGTGCTGTCAATGAGCACAATGCAGCTCTTCACTAGGTCTTGATACGGACTAACTCGTTATTGGATGTATTGTAGACAACATCGATGATCCTTGTTTTGCCAGTACAACACTCAGAACCCCAGAAAAAGTTGCCCATGTCCAGCTTCTTGTTACCTCCCCACACTGGGACAGTGTGGATGCGGCAGGGGCCAATCCACCTTGGTGTTGGCAGCGGGGCGTTCCAGCTCATACTTCCGCTTCTTGTGGTAGGGCTTTCTCTTACCCCCAGTCTTGAGGCGCTTGTGCCAGTTGTCCCGAGAGATGCCCATGGATTGGTGCTGGCTGGAAAGGCCGAGTTGTCTTTAAATAGGTGAGTGGTCCTAGAATGAAAGGACTTAATAAAAAATTTTTTTATAAATAGGTGAGTGGATAAAGAAACTATGGTACATTCATACAAAGGAGTATTACTCAGCAGTAAGAGAGATGATCTATTGAGCCACAAGACATGGAGGAACTATAAATGTACATTGCTAAGTGAAAGAAGCCAATCTGAAAGGTTGCATAGTATATGATTCCAACTATGTGATATTCTGGGAATGGCAAAAACATAGAGACAGTAAGATCAGTGATTGCCAGGGGTTAGGAGAGAGGGTGGAGGGATGACTGGGTGAAGCACAGGAGACTTTTAGGGCAGTGAAGCCATTTTGTGTGATACCATGATGGTGGATTCATGACATTCTGCATTTGTCAAAAACCCATAGAACTGTATAACACAGAGTGAACCTAAATGTAAACGATGAACCTTAGTTAACCATAAAGTATCATTACTGGCTCATTCAGTATAACAAGCTTATTATATTAATGCAAGAGTTAGTAATAGGGGAAACTGTGTGTGGGGGCAGGGTGAGAGGTAGGGTGGTATATGGGGAAAACTGCTCAGTTTTTCTGCTAATCTAAAAACTGTTCTAAGAAATAAAGTCTATTAAGTTTTTCAAAGCATGGCTTAAAAATAGACAATCTAAAGACTGCAAGGAAATATTTGTAAACCATATATAACCAGCAAAGGACTAGTATCTAGAATTTTTAAAGACCCCTCAAAATAGAACAGCTAAAAACATCCAATTCAAAAAATGGGCATAAGACATGACAGACATTTCACCAAAAAGGATATACAATTGGAAGATAAGTACATGAAAAAATGTTCAATATCACTAGCTATGAGGGAGATGCAAATTAAAACCATAGTGAGCTATCATTAGACATCTATCGTAAAGGAAAAGAAAGCTGACAATGCAAAAGTTGGCAGGGATGAGGAGACACTGGATCATTCATACATTGCTGGGGGGAATGCAAAGTCATACAGTTGCTATGGAAAACAGTTTGGCAGTTTCTTAAAAAACTAAACATTCAGCTACCGTACTACCCAGAAGTTGTACTTGGGCATTTATCCCAAAGAAATAAAAGCTTATCTTTGCACAAAAATCTGTACACACATATTCATAACAGCTTTGTTCATAACAGCCTGAAATTGGACATAATCCAGATGTCTTTCAGTGGGTGAATGATTAAACTGTATATCCATACTATGGAATACTACTTAGCAATAAAAAAGAACGAATTACATGTTACAGGTCTTTCAGAATTTGTCTAGTATGTTTTCCAGTTCTTACTAGAAGATTCCACTGTGTGGGGGATGGATGAAAGAACATAGATAGATGATGCAATGACTTGGATGAATTGCCACAGAATTATGCTGAGTGAAAAAAGCCAATCCCTAAAGATCACATACTGTATGATTCCATTTATATACCATCTTTTTTTTCAACAAGCAGGCCATTTATATAGCATTTAAAAAAAAAACCCCAAATTATAGAAATGGAGAACAGATTTGTGGTTCTAGGGTTTAGGGTTGGGTTGGTAGGGGAAAGTAGGAATGGGTATAAAAGGAAAATTGGAGGTATCCTTGTATGGTGAAACTACTGGGTATCTTGACTTTATGAATGTCAGTATCATGGTTGTGACATTATACTATCATTTTGCAAGATGTTACCATTGGGGAAAACTGGGTAAAATATACAGAGTATGTCTCTGTAGTTACCCTTACAACTGCATGTGAATCTACAATTATCTGACAATAAAAAAACCTAATTTAAAAAACTTAGACAAATGAAGAGATAGAGAAAAAATGCATATCCTAATATCCAAGACACACCTTAGACAAGTTAAAATCTCTGAAAAGGGAACTAGATATCTACATCTCTGTATCTATATCTATATTTAACTTTTTTTTGAGACAGGGTCTCACTCTGTTGCCCAGCCTGGAGTGCAGTTGGTGCCATCTTGACTCACTGTAGCCTTGATCCCCTGGCTCCAAGTCATCTTTTTGCCTCAGCCTCCTGAGTAGCTGGGACCACTGGTACATGCCACCATGCCTGGTTAAATTTTTTAATTTTTTTGTAGAGTCATGGTCTCACTATGTTGTCCAGGTTGGTCTTGAATTCCTGGGCTCAACTGATCCTCCTACCTCAGCCTCCCAAAGGGCTAGGATTATAGGCATGAGCCACCATGCCCAGCCTGGTATTAATATTTATTTTTAAGTTTTTCAGACGGATCCAATGCACAGCCAAGTTTGAGACCAATACTTTAGCCAACTGTGTGGAGTATGCAGAGTCAGCTTAGGGGGCAGTACAGAGCTTTGAGTTTATATGCATTAGCTCTGAGACTAGTTGTGTGGTCTTAGGCAAGTCATTTAAATTCACAGAGTAGCCTCAGGTTCTTCTTTATAAATTGGTGACCACCTATCCTTACTTCCCTGCAATGTTTTGAAAAGCAAGAAGAAAATATAAGTGTTTCATAAATTGTGAAGTGCCATATAAATGTTCTGATCAGCATGCAATGTATATTGGACATTTGTATTAATGTATTTTTAATATGTAAAGAATATCTACTGTATGCAGAAATGTTCATGTTTACTATCTCATTTCATTTCTTTAACAACCCTGCCATGTCAGAATTGTGATCCTGTGAGCCCGAGGCACGCAGATGATAAATAATAACACTTGTGGCATGAGAAATACAGATTCTGTGACAGCAAAACTCCACCAGTCATGGGTTTACCCCGCAGAGGTATTTGTCAAGGTCATTTAGGTATAAAAGTGAGCCCCAACTTTTGTTTCTAAGAAACATAAACAAATATGTAAATAGAAGTTCTGAAAGGGCAATTTTGTTTGAGTGATCTGGATAACACTTCACTTTGCCATTATAGATGAAGCTAAGTGCAAGAGAAAAAAAATAGACGTTGAGAATAAGAAAGCGCTTGGTTTCTAAGTGATTTATGCCCAGAAAGATGCCAGAAGAGAGAGGCCACCAGAGCTAAGAGCAAGCTAGGACTTGCGGTATCCCATTAGCGAGTCTTAATCCTTATTAATGCCCGTGTTTGACGACAAAGGTTGTTAAAAACACATTAAGTGTGGAAAAAGCTGATTCTGGCATTAGGCATTCACAAAATAAAAAGAATGCAAATGTGAAGGAGAAGGAAGCTGTCACCTTTTTATGTGCTTCTGCTAGAAATTAAATCACTGGAACATTTGTAAAAAATAAAGTTGAAGAGGGATCAGTTAAAAATGTATCAGAAAATGAAGACAATTTTTTTGGTCAGAGTCCATGTATTCAACTGGAAATATCTAGATCACTGGTATGCTTTTTGGATTAAGATTATTTGATTGACCAACTGTGTGTATATAAATAAAGACCAAGTAATTCAAGGTCTTCCACCTCCCAAATGTATTGGGAATAAGGGACCAATCTCAGTGTTGGCCACCTGGCAAAGTTTTTCTAATGCTCTTCCAAGAATTTGGAACTTTGTATGAACTAGCCACCATCTTTCCACCTCTGAAGGATATTTTTTCATCCACTTTAATCTCTGGTTCTGTTAGCTGGTTTAGAACTAAATTAAATCCTTAAAATTCTGGCTCAGTGAATTCAATCTTCAGAGATTGGAGAAGGCATATGTAGGGTATGGTCCGGGCATGGACTGTTTCCCCCTATACCTGGCTTCTTCCTGCTCCCTCTCTCTGGGAGTTGCCTTTGGCCAAGACTGATCTCTGAAGGGTACGCATATTCCCAGTAATGAGACATGGGATGCAGGTGACCAAGCAAAGTTGAAAGCAGTGTAGTGGTCACGCTTAATGTAACTTCATGCACTGCATAGGAATTTGAATGATTAGCTTGATCGCTTTGATTGTAAAACTGCTTGCTATATTGCCCCAAGGTGCGAATTCTTCACCAACTTGCTGCCATTGGAATGTCCTGTAAGTTTTAATAAACCAATGTTTTTCCCTCCAGGTGACTTCTTTGGCATAGGTAAACATGACACAAAAGCCCCCTCAGATTTGGGGTCAACATATTACAGCCTAATTAAAGATAGTGGGATAATTTTGCATCCTGTTCCATTTTTCCTTTTGAAACTATAGAAGAAACCTTACTACTGGCCCAGGTCTTAGGGAGAAATGGCAGGTTTCAGTCTTAATTTGAGCATGTCTAAGCCTTGAAGAAGTTGGACATGGCTTTTCACTGTTATTGGTCTTGTTTTCCTAAACTGGTGAAATGATACTAAGAAGTGATGTGGAAAACCATGTAGCAATCTTAGGTGAGTTTCCCAGCATTGGCCTAGGTCCCTGGGAAGTGGGTTTCTACAGAGGCACCTGTGAGGGCAATATCTAGGCAGTATTTGCTTCTGTCTCCAATGGATCCTTCCCCTCTGTTCCTTTTGTTACCTTCCTTCCTAGCTGGCAGGGAACACCTGGGTCTTCTTACCTTCTCAATTCCTTCTCTTCCTTATCTGAACTTTTACTTCACCCTGGTACTTAGGTGCCAAATGCCATGCTGTTCCTCAGCAAATCATTAATAGCTTTCAATATTCAAAAACATTGACAAATTGAGTTAGATACAAATTGTATGTTTCTTTATCACTAAATTAGAACTGCTGATGTTAGTAATAATCATCCTTCACAACTGTGTGGTTCTTTTCAGTCACTAAGCACCCGTGTACCTCCTTTGTGACATTTGATTCCCGCAAGTAGCCTAGAAGAAAGGCTAGGGTGTGAATATTTAACAGTATTCTATTTTTTTTTTGAGGTGAAGTCTCTCTCCTTCACTCAGGCTGGAGTGCAGTGGCACGTTCACAGCTACCCCAGCATCGACCTGCTGGACTCCGGCGATCTTCAGCCTCAGCCTTCCAAGTAGCCGGAACTACAGGCATGCGCTACTACACCTGGCTAATTTTTTATTTATTGTAGAGAGGAGGTCTTGCCAAGTTGCCCAGGCTGGT